ATCCGGCCACCTCTGAAGCCAAACATACCAGGCCTGGCTTCTCACTACGGGGTGCAAAGCCCTGTGTCCTTCCTGGCCTGAGCCTGAACTTATCGGGGGGACTATGTCTAGCCTGCACCCTCACCATGACCATCTCCTGTGGCTGCCTCTCATCCCACCCCTGTGGTAGGACAACACTGGGAACCTTGTGGTTGCTCTGTGTTGTCCTCTGGCTCAGTCTTCAATAATGAACCCCTTCCCCAAATGGTTCCTGATTAAACCTTCTCAAACACGGGTGCTGCCCTGGATTTTTTCCCCAACTCTAGCCTGCTGTGTGGAAGGCATTACTTTTGGAGTAAAAACTCTCATTTTTTTTTTTGCAGTTTGCAAAAGCCACAGGCTTTTCTTGGGGCCAGGGCTGCTGGCCTGGTCCATTGTGTCTCCCTAGAGCTGCGGACCCTCAAGCCTTACTTTCTCTCCCCAACCACTGGCTTCACCCATGATCAAGCCAGACAGTGGATCAGCACCTCTGCTGCCCCATGCTGAAGAGAAACGAGATTCAAAACGGGCTCAAGTTGACTGCAGACATGACTGTGAACAGAATCCACAGGGGTGGAGCTGGCAGGGGGGCAAGTATGGCTCTGGTGAGTTCCAGTCCCTGAGTCCCTAGGTCACCTCCTTTGCGGCTGAGCTTTCTTGCAGGCATGGTTGACTCACTCCCTTCCCATCACCATGCTGTCCTGTTATATTCCCAGCCCATTTAAAAATTTTATTTTGGTTTTGGTTTTTTTGGTTTTCTTTTTGAGACAAGGTCTCACTATGCAGTTCAGGCTGGCCTTGAGCTCACTTTGTAGCCCAGGCTGGTCTCAAACTCACAACGATCCTCCTGCCTCAGCCTCCCAAGTGCTGAGATTACAGGCGTGCGCCACCAAGCCTGGCCTACAAATTTTATTTTTAAGGGCTGGGCATTGATGGAGACCACTATGAAGCAGCTCTGAGCAGCATTTAATATTAACCAATTGGCTTTTCATGCTGACTTGTGAGCTGTCCATAGCTTAGGCACCTTGTCTGCAGATGGGCAGCTGATTCATAGTAAATGAATCTCTATGAGTCACTGGTAACCGCTGAGGCCCATACTGGCTTGTGAAGCAGTGACGCCTCTAAAGACAAGATAAGGGTGCAGCTGAGGACGTCTGGCTCCAACCCCAATTAACTTAAAGGAGACTGTAACCTCAGGCATCTCACTCCAGCTGCAAAGGGCTTCCTGGAGATAACATAGTTCTCCTAAATTAACATACTATATTACTTGGAGAAGTCCTTAAAGGGATTCCCAAGTCCTGCCCAGATTCCTGCATTTTCTTCAGTATTCCCCCTCCCTTGTTTGTAAACCAAATAAATATGGGCTGCCCAGAGAAGTCTTTGGCTAAACTCCAAGAGCACTGAAACTGTAAGAGAGTTAGTCCCTTCTGGAGCCCTAAAATCATTTCCTTTGTCTCATTTATTTGAGCCTTCACTGTTCACTTGCTTGGGAGATTGCAGGTCTGATCAGCCTGCAATAACTAAGGGTTATTTAACCTGATACTCTATAGGGCATGGTGGCACATGCCTGTAGTCCCAGTAGTGGGGGGATTACTGTGAGTTCATTGTCAGCCTGGGCTACCTGGTGAGTTCAAGGTCAGCGTGCACTGCACAGCAAGACCTTGTCTCAAATAAATAAATAAATAAAATTTGCGTCAAGACCTCAAACTTTTGCTGTCAGGGTTTTTGTTTTTGTTTTTTGTTTTTTTTTTTTTTTTTTGGAGACAAAGAAGGTCTTGCTAAGTTTGCTAAATTGCCCAGGTTGGCCTCAAACTTGTACTCCTCCTGCTTCAGTACCCCAGAGTGGTGAGATTACAGGTGTGGGCCACCAAAAGCCATTCCTCTATAGTCTTTTCTTAAAAACCACCCTTAATGTCTTTATGTCTCAGTCTTCCTTGATTTAACTAAGCATGTCTACACATAGTTTTTATTTTGTTTGGACTTTGGTGTGATTTTATAGAATTATGCCTTTCTGGAATTTTTTGGCCATTATTTCCAAATGTCCAAGATGGATGGCATGCCAATCATTTACAAGAAAACAAATCCTGAAAGCCCACTCGAGGAGAGGCTGGCCCCTGCCCAAAATGCCTCCTTCTGAGAGGTCTCCTGCATGTCTGTGCCCCGCCTGGTTCTGGTACCATCTCCGGCCCACCTCTGAGGCCAACCGCACACGGGTCCCCGCATTCCAGCAAGAAGCCGCAGATAGCGGTGCCGTGCGGGGCGGCGTAGAACAGGCTGGTGATGTGGGCTGCAGAGAATTTTTTTTTTTTTTTAGAATTTTAGGAAGCAACATTTTAATGGTTGAAAACAGTCCTTCCAAAGTGACTACGAAA